CAGCTGCAGCTGCAGCGGTGCGGTGCAGCTGCAGCGGTGCGGTGCAGCTGCAGCGGTGCGGTGCAGCTGCAGCGGTGCGGTGCAGTGGTGCGGTGCAGCTGCAGCGGTGCGCTAACCAGACGTTCACTCAGCTCAGATGAGAGAAGAGACACATCGAAACTGCAGGCAGAATCACAGACGTTAAAGGGCCGGTATCATGTAAAATATACGTTTATGATCTTTCCATTATGTGATCATGTTTGCTCATCTAAATCACAGCTGGAGTGTTGCCTTGATTCATGTATGCATGTTTCAGAAACCCTTTCATTTCCATGTTGAAACGCCTGGGTGGACCTAGCCCCGCCCACTCAGCCCCTTCAGACTAGCCAGCAGCAATTAGCAAACATCTGCTGACCTCATCAACAGAGCTACTTCAGAAAGAGTTTTTAAAGAGACAGAGGCCCAAATTCAAGGTGTTAATTCAGGAAGTCAAATTTCCTTGAAGTCATATTTAATATTTAACATTTTATAACTGAAGTAACAGAGTTAGTTTGTTGTACTTTAAATGGATTATGTGTCTGGAAAACATGATCCTGCCTCATTTCCTAGTCGGTCGGGTCAGATCGGGTCAGATCGGATCGGGTCGGATCGGGTCTTTGAGGTGTTGGAGGTTTTCCTGGACACATTGATGGAGCCGACTCCACCTGCTGATCATTAAAGCTGATTTTAGCTGCTGAATGGGGGCAGATGAGGAGGAGGAGGAGGAGGAAGGTGATTGATGCAGAGCTGGAGGAACAGAGTGTTTCAGGCGGCGCTGCCGTTGTTCTCATTAGTAGTGATGAGAGCTCGCCCCGAACAGACCGCCTCTGTTCGCTAATGAACGCACACACTGAGGCGACTAGACCTCCATTGGTCATACAACAGCGTCTCTGGGCCCGACTGGACGGGAACCAACTTCAGGCCTGCGCTTGTGTAACACTGAGGTCACAGGTTCGAATCCCACGTCGTTCAAGGTGGGGCTGACTCTGCATCCAGATCATGCTGAGGGTAAAAACACGTTTCATGAGTAACTGGGTTTGATCTGAACTTTAAAAAGAAGAAAAGTTCTTTACAGTCCAGCTGGACAGGAAGTGAGGAAACATTTTTCACGCTGGTCTTGCAGCAGGAAGGTTTGAATCCCAGCCTGGCGTCTGCAGTTTGGATGCTTGGTTTCTCTCCGCTTCCTGCCAAACACATGACTGTCGTTCTAACTGGTCTGCAGGTTTGGCTTCATGCATGTTTGAGTCCCGTGTCTCTGTGATGAGTTGGTCTGGGGTCTCCCTGGCACCGGCCCCCATCAGGGACATGCGGGCGTAGATCATGGCGGGGCGGAGGTCAGCAGTCTGCTCACAGTAAGACGACAGTAACAACACGCTGCGTTGTCCTGCGCTTTCAGACACACTGGACCCGACTAGTCAGGCTTCAGGACTCCTGCATCTTTTGTAGAAAAATATTCTGAAATAACTCGACTCAATGCAGCTTGACTCGCTATTGGCTGATGTTCTCAAAGCAGCCAATCCAGGAGCTTCCTTAATTTCTTTGGTACCGTTTGAATGAACCACTTTGGGTTCTGTCCATGTTTTCACGCTCTGATCAGGTTCAGACTGGACACCAGACCCGTTAAGGTCTCCATTTGTTATTCTGCCTGGCAAAGCAGAGAGGCGCTATTTATGGATCAAAAATCAAAAATAGATTTTTAATTGAATCATAAGATGGTAAAAGAGTCCCAGACCTTTCAGAAAGGTTCTGGTGAGTTAGCATCCTTAAAATAAGATAAAACTGAGGTATGTGCACCAGAAACCAAAATATCTAAGATTTAGTGTTTTTGCAGTGAATGAATCAGTAGGAACCATGACCAATGGTTCGGTCCAAACGACTTGATGCTTCTCCACAGAACCTTTAAGAGCCTGGAAGAACAAAACATCCTGTGAAAAGTTCTGGTTCTGCTCTGAAAGTGAGAAAAAGCAAACAACATCCCAGCACAAGCTCAGATGTGGATCAGAACCTTTGGACGGTTCTGGATGGAGACGATGAACTTCATGAGAAAATCGTCTCCAGAGACTCGAACTCACCGTGTGAAACGTCTGATATGAAGAAGCTCTTGTCTGGAAAACTGTGTTTCCCTCTTATGAGTGAATGAGCTGCTCTCCGTGTGTGTGTGTGTGTGTGTGTGTGTGTGTGTGTGTGTGTGTGTGTGTGTGTGTGTGTGTGTGAGAACAACAAACTAATCTGACCTGAATGTGTTACGTGCGCGCCAACGTGAACGCTCCTGAAAACCGGGAGCACAATGTCTCTTTTGTTCAGTGAGAAAACTGATGAGGAGTGAAGGGGGGGGATGCTGTTGCCATGGCAGCGTGCTGCGGCGGGGGGGGGGGGGGATCACCTCACACTGTAGACAGGAAACACTGAGGCCTGCGCCATTGTTGGTCACACTTCACACTGGGAAAGAGAGGCCGAGTCCTCCAGAGGACGGACGGTTTGTCAGTGCGCTCACGTCCCACCAGCGGCTCTCTGCTTTCACCGTCTTCTGGTTTTGTCCGTTCGCCTTTGAGTCAATGAGAAAGCTGCAGACTCGTCTTTCTTTCCTCTAAACTGTCTCTGATCCTCCAGAATGAGACTCTAAACGGGACAAGAGGAAGTCTGATTCAGACGGTTCACACAAAACTCCAAGAAAATCCACAAAAATTCATGAAAATAAACAGCATTGAAGTCAGACGGAGCTGCAGTTCCACACAATAAACATGATTTTGATGTATTTTACCAGTTTGTTGGACTTTTAGGAGTGAAAACCTGCTGAAAGGTTTCCTGTAAGCCAGATCTGACCTTCTGCAGGTGGCGCCCCCTGCAACAGCTCACCTGTAATTACTGCCACAGGTTCTGTCTCTGCTGCTGCTCAGGTCTCTGACACACACACACACACACACACACACACACACACACACACACACACACACACACACACACACACACACACACACCCACACACCTCCACACACACACACACCTCCAGAATCTCTGTGAGCATGTGCTGCCCCCTGCTGCCTCTCCAGTGGAACTGCAACTCAGATGCTGAAAGCAGCAAAAAAACAGGAAATGAGTCAGAGTGGAAATAATAAACATTATTAGGATATTAAAGTTTCTTTGTAGAAAGATGTATAGAAATCATTTCTAACTTGACGAGCAGCAGCAGTGAAGCTCATTTTTCCTCGTGGCATTTTGTCGAAACGTTTGTTTGCTTCTACAAACTGCAGCTGCTGCCGTCCAAAAGCAGAGGCAACCGTTGCCGACGTCTGTCAACGTGTTGCTGCGTTTTTATGTTGCAGAGCAGCAGAGCAGCTGGACATGCCGACTGACAACCACTCACCTGAGGAAGGCCTCAGCCTGAACCATCGCAGAGAGAAGAAGAAAAAAACTGTTCAGAAACCAGAGAATATTTTCCCTCCATACTCATCCTGAAAATCCTGAAGATTTTCCGGGTTGGAAGCCTGAATGATTCCCAAATCTTTTCCAGATTTCAACCTTAAACCTCGTCAAGAAGCAACTTACATGAGTTCATCGGCCCTCGTCTTCACTCTTCCATAAATTACCTACAAATATTTGAAGATACGCTGAATGTTGATGTTTTATTAAAGGGTCACGTTTTATTCCAGCTTTTCTCTATTTTCCCATCCAACTAGAGACTTTATCATGTAAAAGCAGATAAATGTTCTGATCGCCGTCGTTCTGAACTCTGTGCCACCAGTCACATGACAACACCAGCAAATTATTTAATGAATTTCTGCAACATGAGAAGAATTCAATGGTGGGGAGGTCTCTGCTCGCCCGAATGTTAAAACACACCTGACCAGAACACTGACTTTCTGTTTGCTACATATTTAAAGTGTTTTTCACTGATCTGAAGAGGATTTTCCTAAATATTCAGGGAGAGAAAATCAGTGGCGGAGCCAGTGGGGTGACATTTGCCACCCCTCTGGAAATGGTCATTTTGAAATACAATACTTATGAGATCGGCAAAGATTTGCCAGGAAAACTGTAATTTCCGACTGTCCCTGAAGGCAGCCCGATGCAGTCGCAGCCTACATGCTGCTCACTGACGCTGCTGTTCAAATCAAAACCAGCAGAAACATTTTCTGGAAGAAGTTAAATAAATAAATAGCAGAAAGATATTTAGTCTGTTTTGAGTTTAAATTAAAAATTTAATATGTGATTATGCTTGATTTAGTTCAACATGATGCAGATGTTTCATGAGATCACATGACACCGCTGGTCCAATCAATTCATAAAACAATAAAAAAACAACAATAATATAAAACAAACATGAATAAAAATCTAATTCCAGACAGAAACGTTTGTCCTTCAGGTAGAGTACCACACATCAGGGTTAGGGCACCAGTAGATTATTAACATTAATCTTCTCATTTAATATCTTACAAAACCAAAAACAACAGTGCAATAATAAAAAGGTTTGAACGGCTCGCAGAGCGGAGGAAGGACGGAAGCAGAACCAAAACGGACTGGAGGAGACGGGAGGACAAGCGGCAGGACGGTGGAGGATGGAGGGATGAAGAGGAGGAAGAAGGGAAGGAGGACAGGATGGTTTCAGGTTGTTAAAAGGTTTTAGATTCTGATTCAACATGGCTGCCAACGTGAAGTCTGGGAGGTTAAAACGGGCCGACGGTTCTGGTTCTTCTGAAACGGATCTGAATCTGTCTGATGGATCATCTGTAACTCTGACGGTTTCACCAATCGCAGCGTCTCCCTCTCTCCGTTCGACAAACGCTGAGCTTCATTTACTGCCGAGTCACCAGAGACGATGCGAGTCTGGTGGGTTCATCGGCCCAGCGGGTCGGCTCGGCCCGGCCCGGCGGGTCGGCCCGGCCCAGCGGCCCGGCCCGGTGGGTCGGGTCGGCTCGGCCCAACCCAGCGGCTCGGCTCGGCTCGGCGGCCCAGCCCGGCGGCTCGGCTCGGCCCCCCAGCTCGGCTCGGCTCAGCTCGGCCCAACCCAGCGGCCCGGCTCAGCTCAGCTCGGCCCAACCCAGCGGCTCGGCTCGGCCCGGCCCAGCGGCCCGGCCCGGCGGCTCGGCTCGGCCCAGTCTGGCGCTTCCTGCCATATTCCAGTCTCAACTCAGGCTGACTTGGATCGGCGCCGAGTGACACTGCATCAGGTTGAGAACTCTCTCTGATTGGTTGATGCTCTGCGTTCAGCTGCAAAACTTCAGGTTTTCTGAAGCGTCGGCCATGTTGGATGTGCGAGCCGCTTGCTGTGAACGCAGCATCGTCCTGTAAACTACTTCAACTAAAGCCCAGCTGTCCTCTGTAATGTGCAGGAGGAAGCTGTGGTGCTGGTGTTCTGACCCGTTTCCACAGAAACCCAGCAGTTTTAACCGTGACCTCTGCGCCGCCGAAGCGAAGCGTCTCGGAGGAAGTTTGACCCGGATCCATCCCGGATGGAGGCGGATCAAAGCGTTTAAAGGAGGTCCGTTAAAGACAAACTTCGGCTTCGTTTGGTTCTGATTAAACTGAAATAAGTTGCTTCTGGATTTAAAGTGTTTCTAAAAAATGTTCCTGGAATAGAACCAGCACCTCAACATGAACTGTTGGAGGGCAGGGGTCACCTGGAGCTGAGGGTGAGGTCATGAGGAGACAAGAGGGAGGGAGGGAGGAGGGAAGGGGCGGGGTCAGGGCAGGTGGGCGTGGCCCGTCTGGGTCGGGTCGTCCCTCAGGAACTCCTCTTGGTCCTGGAGTGCTGGATCAGCCACTGCAGAGTGATGTCTGCAGACACAACAACATACCTAAACATCATCCAGCTGGTTTATTGTGTGCTTACAGACCAAAGGTCATGAGGTCATCAGCGTGAAAAGCTCAGACAGGTTCGTTTGGTAAAACTTCATAAGCATGGTTAGTAAAATATTATTCTATAATAAATGTTTTCACCACAAAGACCAACAAAACCTGCAGGAAGCAGCAGGAAGTTCGTTGGTCCAGTTGTTTGGTCCGGACCAGATCCAGACTTTATTTTCTTTCTTTGGTTTGCTTTCACACTGAGCTTTTTGAAAGCGGATTAAAATATGTAAACAAAGTCACATGGGAGAAGATCAGTGCTCCTATTGGACAGAAATGGGAGGCGGGACCAAACACCTGGAACACATTTCCTGACTCGGCACATTTCTGCTAATGCGCTAACAGCAGAGCTAATGTTTCACTTGGTGCTTTAGCTAATTCAAAAACATTTAGGCACTTAGCTTCCTGCCTTTTCCCGCCACAATAAAATTAAACATATTTCATCTTATTTTGCTGAAATGTTTTCTATCTAGTGCTAAATAATAACAGGAACCACTTGGTTTGTGAACATTTAAGTTAATTTTACTTCTTCATGGAAAGCACATTGTGTAGATAAACGTGTGTGTGTGTGTGTGTGTTTACCAATGTTGTCTTTCTCCTTGCAGGAAATGGAGTAGCAGCAGATCTCTCTGTCCTGGATGGCCGACAGGTTCCTGAACACAACAACGACCCGAAACACTGAAACAGGCAGCAGAACAGCAGAGCCTGGAGCTCCAACTGGACCCCAGGGACCCACCGGGACCAGGTCAGACCCGGGTCAGGACTTACATCCTCTCTATGAGCTCCTTCTCGTCCAGAGCGCCTGGCAGGTCCCGCTTGTTGCCCAGAACCAGAACCTGAGGACAGAGAGAAGGAGAACGGGTTGAATGCACCAGAACCAGAACCAGAACCAGAACCAGAGCATGCAGGTAGAAAGCATTCAGTGCTGAGCGTTTTGTGGATCAGGATGTGGGCCTGAGGGAAGCAGTCTGTCGTTTCAGGAAGTGAAGGTCGTACTTCAGAGAGTTTAAGTTTTATTTCTTGTGGTTCGATGATTCACATTTCGCTTGTTTACAGAAAACTGACTGATTCTTTTTAGTTTATCAGATAAGCATAAAAAATAGTTTTTGCAAAAATAATGACAATAAAAACATATAGTAAGTTTTGTGGCTGCTGGAGTTTAAACTTTATATTTTTGGCCCACAAGTCAAATAGTTTAAATAGCGCCGACTGCAAGATTTACGTATTATTGAGAAAAGATGAAGCAACTGTTGATTTTAAAAGAACCTCCAAAAGTCATAGAATCGATGAACTGACCAGATTTATCAGCCAGCAGGTAAAAACTGATTCGATTTAAACACAACAGGTTCTATGCGTCCCTCTGGAGCCCACAGGGCCACATAAAGAGCTGTGGCCGGGGGCCGGATCTGGACCCCGGCCGTGAGTTTTGACCCGTTCCGCTGAGCTCAGCTCTGGCTGCCTGGCGTTTCGGGTTTTCTCACAGGAATCCCCTGCAGCTGCGGTTTGTCCAGCAGGTTGTGCAGCTCGTTTCTTGGAGGCTTCGATCTTCTCTGGATCGGCTGCGTCAACCATGTAGCTGCAGCAGGACGAAAACAAACGTCACAAACCAGAAGGAATCCAGACAGCCCGCGTCCTGACGACAAGTTAATCCTGAGAAAGATCCAAACTGAAGATACGAACCATGAATCCTCACAAAATGAAAACATGAATTTATTTTCTCATCTCATTTTATGACTTGGATTCTCAGAGGTAAAAATCTCCATAATCCAACTGGAATACAAGACACAGCAGAGGAACTGAGGGATTAGCAAACAGACACGAGGCCAGATTAGGATGAAGATGACAGGATTTGGATTAGGACATGGACAGACAGACCAGGTTACGATATGGAAGGACAGAAGGTCAGATTAGGATTAAGAGATTCACATGTGGATGAACTAAAGGTGGATTAGAATTAGAATACAATTATGTCTGCAATATGGAAGGACATAGAGTCGAATTAGGATTAAGGATATTCACAAAAGACATTAGGATTAACAAATCAGTCTTAAAATATGGACAGACGGCTAGATTAGGATTAGGACAGATCCAGATGTGGATGAAAATAAATTAGGATTAGGATTAAAATAAAGAGAGATGGTTGGATTAAGACATGGATACGATCATATGGATGAATGTGATGTGGATTGGAACATGGATGGATTTATGGTTGGATTAGAATCAGAATCTGGACAGATTATGATGGAGATTAGATGCAGATAGACAGATGGATTACATATCAGTGGGAATATCTGGGCCTCTGCTGCTGCTGTGAGGAAACTCTGGTTCTGTTGGGCCTAGGGAGCCGCCCCCCCCACTCTGCCGCCCCGTGCCGCCGCCAGACTTACACGATGGCGCTGACGCCCCGGCAGTAGCGTTCCCACATGCTCCTGAAGCGAGGCTGGCCGCCGATGTCCCACAGCTGGACACAGAGACGGATGTGAGAGGACAGAGCGGCACAGAGACACGCCGGGAATCGAACTACCAACCTTGATGGTGACGTTACCCTTGGTGATCTTCCTCATGTTGAAGCCCACTGTAGGTATCATGTCTTCGCTGAATTGACCCGACTGAAACACACACACACACACACACTCTGTCAAACAGCTGACACCAGCACTGAACCGACTGATCAATCAGCAGCCTGACCTGCTGATCAATGTTTTCTGACTGAAGTGTCAGGTGACGTTTGTTACCCGGTGTCTGATTGCAGAGCTTTGCTGAGGCGGGTCAGATCGGTGGATAAGATCGGCTCCGTATGGACGCGCCGGCCGATAACCCGTCTCACCACACAAAGGAAATCTGGGCCGATTGATTCGCTGGCCCAAAATCGCTGCATGTCTACCTGAGACTGATGTTCAGGTAAGGCTGCTCTCACTCTGGATACATCTCTATGAAGCTCTGGTTTGTGTTTTCCTTCCACTAAACCTTCCGTTAATATGGTTGTAGGCCAATAAGCAATCAATCAATTAATCACCTGATAAATTAAAACTTTCCATTTGCATGATTTATTGTTTTTCGCTTTTTACCACAAACTGGATGATAAAAGTCTTCAGGCTGCCAGACATTTTTCCAGGACTTCATATTCACTATATTTGTTGTTTTTATCATTTAGTTTGGATGTTTATAATATCCTTTAATTTCAATGATCACGAGACACTAAAGTTTACTGATATTTGTGTTCTTGCAAAAACGATCAATTATCAAGCTTCTTCATGTGATTAATTGATTTATTGGGCAGGTCTGTTTTCTGCCTACTTCCTGCTGCCATTCGGGTTCAAGAGTTTTCATCATTCGACAGGCGTGGAAACCTGTGAATTATAAATAATAGCAAAAACTAATCACAGTCATTTCTAGATGGAACAAAGATGATCATCACATCTTTCATGGCCCAAACAGAATTAATCTGTTTTAAAAGTATTTCATATTTAAATATTTGCTGTAATTTAGGATTTTTCTGGTTTTTCATTGGAACTAAATCTTTTGCTGTTTGATCCAGCAGCAGCCTCCAGATGTTCCCCTCCGCAGAACCAGGCGGGATGAACCCACGCAGATTCACCTGGAGGTGGAGGAACCCGAACCCGACCTGCTGGACTCCACCCGCCTGCCTCCAGCTGACCTCACCGCTGCAGGACAACAACGGACGCCGCCACATCCAGCAACACTCACCGCTATCACATTCACAAAGGTGGTCTTCCCGGAGTACTGCAACCCCACCAGGGTCAGCTCCATCTCCTCCTTCCAGAACAGAGCCTTGAACCAGTCCAGGAGTTTGTTGATCAGCGCGATCATGTCTGCGCTCCGTCCGCTACAGCTGCTCGGTTAGCTGCTAACTGGCTGCCCGGCCCGACGCTCCGCTTTCTGTGCCGCTGACAGCCGCTGAGACACCCGCAGCCGGTAAGAGGGAGAGCCACAGAGCCAAGCGGCCTCACATTCACTCTGGAGCTCCGGTAGCTCGGTGTTTTACTGCTTTAATACCCACCGAGTGGCTTTTCTCTGCTGTTTACTAGCTGCGCCTTTTCTTGCTAGCGCCGACAAGGAGGAAGCAACGCGCACGAATACATCCGGCGGAGCCCTTCAGAATAAAACACAGAGAAAATCTATTGTGTCAAAACTTACAATAAAATAATTTTTTTTACACTCAAACATAATGTACTTACTTATTTAATCAATCCGTGTAATCCCTAATGTGTTGATTATTCAGCATAATATTCACTATTTAGCCTTTTCGGTGATTCCACATAAAGGGGTGAGTCAAAGTGCGGCAGTATTTCCGGTTTGGGTGGGGTTGGTGGAGGAGGCAGAGGAGAGCAGAGCAAAGACAGGCAGAAACAGAAAATATGTAACGAGTTCTGAAACACTGACCTCTGTTGGTTCACTGCATGATTCCTGCGACAATCTGATGTTTTCTATTTATAGTCTGATCTGAACACAGAAGGTTTGGTTCCCATCAGGACATCATTAAATATGTTTGGCATTTTAAATGTTGAGGTTTGGACCTCATAAATCCTCCACATCAGGAATCATCAGAGACACGAAGGATCATTTAGAGCTGTGGCGTCAAACTCGTTTTTTGTTTTGGGCCAAATGAAGATCATGAATGTTCTGAAAGGGCCGGCTGCGCCACAGTGGATCAAACCTGTTAACATATTCATGAACTCAATAACATTGAACATTTTTTCAGTCCATGCAGGATTACGAGTTCGTTTTTGTGATTTTTTTGGAAACGGTTTGTGGTGCTAATTTAAAACTATTTCCAATATTTGTGCTTCAGGTAAAGTCGATGCAGCTGTTAGCATCACTTGAACCCAAATGTTTTTGACCATTTTTATGGAAAAATCTGCAGTAAGCTCACAGATATGCTTGGGCACAAAAAGCTGCAGGGATTTGTTGATTTTTGTGTGAATTTGCAAGAAACTGGAGGGACTGATTGATGAAAGCTGACAGAAAATAAAAACTGTTTGATTTGATTGATTACATAATATATAAGCACAGTGTAATCTGGACGGTTGGCACCAAAAAAGGCTACGGGGGCCGGATTCGGCCCTCAGGCCTCGAGTTCATGATTTAAAGAACAGTCATGTTTCTGGACAGGAGGAACCCGAAGCTCCCGGTTGATTCAAAACAGACAACTATATTATTGACATGAATAAACAGCAGGTCCTGGTTAAACTGATGATGAGGTCAACCTGCCGCCATGTCAGATGCAGGATGTTTAGCTGATGACACCTATGTTCATTGGTGGTACTGCAGGAACAACTCATCCTGCTGATCCATCAACAAAATGCTGTTTTTGTTCAGAAACATCAAGAAGCACAAATATTTTTAATTTAAAACAAACCTGAATTTATACATTTCAGCTAAAAAAAATACTAAAGCAAATAACCAGAAAAGAATCTGAAACAAGTTTTCAGACTTTGTTTCATTAAAGTTCAATTCAAAAGTTCCTATTTTTTTAAATTAACTTTATGAACCGTGGAGATTTAGCTGAACAGAACCTGATGGTCGGGTTCAGCTCTGCTCGTCTCTGAGAAACAAACAAACATGTAAACAATACATTTATTTCATTTTAATAATCTAATTTTTTATTTCCCTTTTCAGTCCAGGATGAACTTTTGGTTCTTTGGGTTCTCCATACTTTCAGAGTCAAACTGAAGATCCAGTTCTGGTTCTGCTGTGTTGCCCTAATGGATCCAATTTCCTGTCAGTCCTGTCTGCTGCCGATGTCCATGAGACGACTCTTCGGTTCTCCTGATTCTCCTGGTTCTCCCTGTTCTCCTGATTCTCTTGGTTCTCCTGATTCTCTTGGTTCTCCTGATTCTCCTGCTTTCTTCAGATTTCTTTGAGGGCATTGCTGGTTTTGTAGGTTCTGGTTTTTCTCAGTTCTGCAGTCGAAGGTTCTGCAGCCGTACGCTGGCCTGGTCCTCAGGCTGGTTCTGTGAGTCTGTGTTGGTCTGGTTCTGGTCCTGATGGGGAGAAAACACGGTTAAACTGGCAGTTCTTCAACTGAGACACAGAAAGTCGTTTCTCCTGATTTGGTCGAACTTGGCAGCAGGCGGGTCTGACTGACTCTTTAAAAAAGGTTCTGGGCCCGGCTGTATGAGGTTCTGTACCTGGTTCTGCTGCAGCTGGCGGCTGAACTGGGCCAGTGTGGAGTACAGGAACTGGTACTGCTCGGTGGTCTGGATCATCCCCCCCCTGCACAGGACAGAAGAGGAGAAGCATCACATTTAGATGAAGGTTCTGGCGTTTAACGTTGGAACAACACAGTTTCTAACTTTATGCAGTGACCATCTCCTGATTTTTCCTCCTGGTATCATGAGGCTACATGGCAAATTGCTTCTGGACCTTTCAGGATCTGAGCCCCGCTAATGGGACCCAAACGGGTCAGAGAGAACTACAGCATAAAGGCAGGAAATATTTCCAGCAGCGAATGTACAAACATCCAAACCAAATGACCTTCAGACGACCTCACCTGTCGAGTCGAAGCTGGCAAACCGTCTCCAGAATGTCCACCTGTCCGGTTTCTCTGAGCTGCTGGCAGCAGATGCTGCTGGCGATGAAGCAACCCGTCCGGCCGATGCCTGCGCTGAGGACAGAACAGCAGAGCAGCTTCACAGTCTCACTGCTACAACATTGTTGAGATACAAGGAGCTTCCAGGAAAATCCTCCTTCCTGTCTGTCAAAGAGCCACAGAGGATCAAAGTGTCTCACTGACAGCCTGCTGGTCACTAAGAGTTTCAGATCCAGTTTGAAACCAGTTCATTCCTTGTTTTCAGGATTCCTTACTGAGTGGGAAGGAGCTGAAACATTTCTCATGAGGTCAGGCCCGTTTCCCCAGAAACACTACGCTGGGACCCAGAGCCCCAAAGAGGAAGTGATGTTTTGGGGTTAGGTTCTGGGTAAAGCTGTAGAAATTAATGGAAAGTAAATGGAAGTAAAATTTTGTGAAGACAGGAAAACATTTTATTGTTGTACGTTTGCAAATTGCCCATTTCGGATAAGCTGTGGTGATTTTACCTCTAAAGACGGATTCGCCTCATTGGGTCCAGTTCATACTCATGTCCTGATTGAAGAAAAGCCTGTAAATGGTTGGATGAGTGTTTATTTAAAAGAGGTCGAAACTACCCAGACGAAGCCGCAGCTCCCTTGGTCACCCCTTGGGGGCGCCGCTGCTGAAGCCAGTGTGGTAGATCTATGGTTATAGAGTCAGCCTTTGAAGTTTGGTGTGAATGAAGCCCAGGGTTATGTTGGGCAGAAACGCCACCTTTATGGGTCATTTCCACACCGCAGCAGTTTATCTGCCTGCCAGGCTGCGGCCGCTGCTCAGGTTCAGCCGCCGCGCTCTGACAGGAAGCGGCTTCAACGCATCCTCCGCTCTGGCTCACACATTTCAGCCTGCTGTTGCTGGAAACAGTTTTTACAGTTTTTATGCTGGTAAAAGAAGAAACAGGTTTTCTCCATCAGGACTGTTGACTTTTTCTCAGGTTGGATTTTAGTATTTAATCTGATGTGTTAGCGGTAGATCATCATGTCTACATGATGGGATTAATATTTGCCCTGAATAATGCTGATGTTTACGATGCTGTTTTACAAATGAAGAGATTCATTAAACAAACATGACCAGTTTCTACTGATCCGCCTTCCCCTCCTGCAGAGACTCAAACCAACAACCTGAGTTAAGTATTTTTATTTTTATTTTTAAACTACAGTAAAACTACAGTTTTAGATCCTGTGGGATTTGGAGTCGATGCAGATCTGGACCAGTGTGAAGCGAGGTGAAAAGGTATGTCTGGTTGGGATCAAACTCTGGTTGTTAATGTCTTTTCTCTTTAATTTTGACTTTGCAAATTAACCATTTGTTCTTCAACATATTAAAATTGACTGGAGGACAGAAGCTAAAGTGTCTTTGTTTTGCAGTAAACTGGAGGCTAAAGCTGCTTTTTCATAAACACCAACCTGCAGTGTACTATGATTGGTCCGTTACCCGGAACGGCGTCTGTGATTGGCTCCAGGGACTTCCTGTGCGTCTCCACATCCTCCACCAGCTTCAGCAGAGAAACAATGCATTCTGGGATGTGGTGGTCGGGCCAGGAGCTGAACCAGTAGTGTCTGACCAGACGGCGCTCAGAGTTCAGCTGGAACACAGTTCAAGGAGGCAGGAGTTGGATTTTTATTAAAGATCGTTCAGAAAGCGAAGGCGAGGATGACGATGAAGCTTCTTCAGAACCAAACTAACAGAATCAACTTCTGGACCATCAACAATCTCTGAAAGCTGCAAAGAGGAAATGTATTATTTATTTCAGTAAATAATACATTCATTTCTTTACTGAAAGGTTTTAGTGATAGAAACTGAGAATCAGGAACCAAAACATGAAATCAGGGATCTGATGGGAAAACAGCGACATCTAGAGGCTTTTGAAGGTAATAACCAATTTTAAATTGCTCCTTTAAACTTATTTTTATTTGTTGGCTTTTAATTGAGTTAATTGTAACTTTTATTTTATTTGCTTATTGTTATTACTCTTTTGTATTATTATTTTTCTCTTCCTCTTTTCATTCACTTATTTTATTGTTATTGATTTTTAAACCAGTTTTTTAAAAGTGCTTAAATAAATTTGACATTAGAACTAGAAAGACAGAACTCACAGAAAGTTTGACAAAAAATGTGACAAAACCAAAATCAAAACGTTATTAACCACAGAGCATGACGGGACGATGAGGCCTGAGTTTGTCTGAACTTTGTTTCCTGTTTCTGTTTTTATTTTAGTTTGTTTTAAAAGCTGCAGTTTGGATAACCAACCAGAGTTCAGATCAGCTCAGGATTCAATATTTTCAGCCTGTTGAACCTGAAAACATGAACAGGATCTGAAATGCATCCCAGACGGATGTGAGGAAAGTCCTCAGGTGGAACCAGATATTTACATACACTGGCTGGAGTTATAGCTACAGTCACCACTTTTTTCTATTTGCTGAATGTTAGAAAACTGAGCGATGATATTTTTCAGAATTCAGATGTTTGTAAACATTTGGTCAGTTTCAGGTATAAGAGTCTTTTCAAATGATTTAACATCAGACAGGCAGGAAAAATGACTATTTTGTGTTGGACTCACCTGGATCTGCAGATCAGAGATGATGAAGCCGTTTTTTTCCCGTCTGTCTTTAACTCTCAGCAGGAATCTGCCGAAACGACTCGTCTGTCCCTCGTCTTCGTCCCTCTGGATCTCGTCCTGCCGGTCCTCGTCCTCCTCCTTCACCTTCGTCCCGTCCCTCGGCTGCGGCCAGTACGGCTCGCATTTCTGAGCAGAGACACGTCAGACGCTGAGCGGCGATCTGGTGATGAATCACAGAGAGAAACGAACCACCGCACCTGGTTGTTCTCCTTCAGCTTGGTCACCATCACAATGATGCTGCTGCGCGCTCCTGCCACACCATGTCCCAGAAATCCCACCGTGTGCAGCATGGGCCCCTGGGTGGCGATGAAGGCCCTGGGAGCCCCTCTGTAGCCCTGCAGGACATCCAGACCATCACAGCTCAAAGCGTCTGCTGCAGCCAAAACGCCAAACTCAGAACAACATGGACGTTTTTTTAAACCGTCATAAAGTAAAACAGTAACAAAGTTTTACTCTATACTAAATTTCTATATTTTTTACTCCTTACATTTTCACTTGTTATTTCCATGATGGAAAAAATCCTGCGCTCACACAAGAAGAGTTTCAGTGCCTGTAATTCACCAGTCAGTTGGTTTTCTGTTGCTTTAAACCAGGTTGTAATTATTCTGTCAGGCTCCTCAGTGGAAACGGTCGATCAGTGTGAGGTGAACGACGCTACGTCACAACTTATTCAGTAAGTTTCCAAAAAACAAAATCTAAAAACATTTTTTCCAAACTGAGGAGGTTATTTTAGATTTTAACGTTTCTAATGCGATAATTCAGAATGAGAAACATTGATGGAAACACGACTCGAGTCCTTAACGTTTAAACAGGAACTGATATCAATATCCAATATTAATATCCCTGTTATGTCAACAAATGACACAGCTGATCACCTGATGAGGTGATGCTAATGTTTCCGTTAGCATCATGCTAATGTTTCTGTTAGCATCATGCTAATGTTTCCGTTAGCATCATGCTAATGTTTCCGTTAGCATCATCTCATCAAGCTTAAAAACTGTTTTACAAAACTGAGCTGTTTTGAATTTTCTGTCTACCTTTCCTGATATGATCCATCAAAAATATTTTCTGATGGAAACACGGCTTCTGCAAGCTTCCCAAGTTTTACAGCCCACAGCATCACTCCACCGCTGTGCCTTAAATGTTAAGGACTCGGTAAAAGTCTTGTCCTCCGTTGCGTCTCCAGGGTTACTGCTGATGTTTCCCATCTACACTGAAGCTACCTGCTAAAATCATCTGCAAGCACTGAAGATGAATTTTATGCCATTGTTCAAAGTTAACAAGTTAAAAACCATCAAATGTTTTGAATGTTTGACTCTATGTTGCATGACTTTGTGTTTCTGTGTTTGTTGTGATGTAAATGTGCTATCAAATAAAATGTGGTTAATAAAATGCTGCATTTCTTCCGACAGATAACTTCAGTTCTTCACACAGTAACTTTTATTTGGTCTAAACTGCTGTCTTCGTTTCATCTGCTGTTTTGTGGTTATTGCATCAAGCAACCCGCAGCTTCTTTACATCCCCTCAGCTTCTGAAACCAGCCCACTTCCTTCACGCCATGAAACAGGAAGTTAATGATTAAGACACTTTTGCTCCTCAAAATCAACCATCAGGCATTCAACCGGCAACTCGCGACTCGCCGGCCAGACTTATCAGAGCAGGTGAGCCAAAAGACGGAGCCGCAGGTGTGAGCTTGATGAAAACTGCTGGTGCACACACTCCTGATGCGGCGGAGTGAGGGATGCGTGGGCGGAGGAGAGGAGGGTGAGTCAGGGACAAGTCACTTCCTCCCTCACTTCCTGTGGCTTTCCTGGTTGTCAGACTCCCACGTTGACAAACTGACAGCTTGCACCTCAACTTCTTTTTACTTAACCATTGGAAATACACACACACACACACACACACACACACACACACACACACACACACACACACACACACACACACACACACACACACACACACACGCAGAAAAACAGATCGACCAGAAGACGCCCACGCTGAGTGACGGAGCTGTCACACACTCAACCAGCTTCCTTTATCTTTAATAAAACCCAGAAGGAAACTCGTTTCTGTCGCTGAACCTAATTAAACAGCTGTGACACTTTAATAATAAGACAACTTGACAACAGCAGACATGTGTTCGTTTTAACTTGAGCAGAAGATGCACAAAATGACCCTTTTTGTCCCAGAAAGAACAGTTTCTTTGTCTTCCAGCCTCATTTTGTGCATATTGCTTTCGTCCTGATTCATTCGGTTCTCCATGTATCGTCTGAATCGGGGCGTTGGTGCCGATCTGTGGTTTTTGGATGAGAGGTGGAAACATCCTGGACATCACAAGAAAATACACATACATAACCCCCCCACCCCCCACATACACACACACACACACACACACACCACACACACACACACACACACACACACAACACACAGACACACACACACACACCTCAACCGATCCATGAGTCGACGTTCACTCAGCAGGTTAACGAAGCAAATATCTGACTTTTTATCTCTGCTTCCCACAAAACATCCAGTTTTTCTAACTCCACTGGGTTTTCAAAGCGTCTCAAGGCTCATGTCATATTTCATCAACTTTTCTTTTTTATTTATCTTTATTGATTCTCAAAAGTAACATTTACATGACCTTTGATCTCTACACCACAAAACTAATTTCAATATTTGAAATAAGATGAACAAATAGACCATTACATTATATTTTACTGGCTTTTCATCAGCTTCCTCCATCTGCTGACCAAGCTGTCGCTCTCAACAACTTTAAAATCCTGGACCTACATTTGTCCAGACACGGCGGCCATCTTTACCTACATCCGTCCAGACATGGCGGCCATCTTTACCTACATCCGTCCAGACATGGCGGCCATCTTTACCTACATCCGTCCAGACATGGCGGCCATCTTTACCTACATCCGTCCAGACAGGGCAGCCATCTTTACCTACATCCGTCCAGACACGGCGGCCATCTTTACCTACATCCGTCCAGGCACGGCGGCCATCTTTACCTACATCCGTCCAGACACGGCGGCCATCTTTACCTACATCCGTCCAGACACGGCGGCCATCTTTACCTACATCCGTCCAGACATGGCGGCCATCTTTACCTACATCCGTCCAGACGGGCGCCATCTTTACCTACATCCGTCCAGCCACGGCGGCCATCTTTACCTACATCCGTCCAGACATGGCGGCCATCTTTACCTACATCCGTCCAGACAGGGCAGCCATCTTTACCTACATCCGTCCAGACATGGCGGCCATCTTTAGCTACATCCGTCCAGGCACGGCGGCCATCTTTACCTACATCCGTCCAGACACGGCGGCCATCTTTACCTACATCCGTCCAGACGGCGGCCATCTTTACCTACATCCGTCCAGACATGGCGGCCATCTTTACCTACATCCGTCCAGACATGGCGGCCATCTTTAGCTACATCCGTCCAGACATGGCGGCCATCTTTACCTACATCCGTCCAGACATGGCGGCCATCTTTACCTACATCTGTCCAGACATGGCGGCCATCTTTACTGCCATAAACAGAGCGCAAATGTTCTTCTTGGGTCGCTTTGGGATCAGAAACTGATCACACAGAACTTTGACTGCAGTCGGGTTCAGTTAGAACAAACATGCCGAAAAACTCAGATTTCATCAAAAAACTGAGCATCAGAACCTGGTGCTACTAAATGCACCACTGTGCAAACATTTGGACTTAAACCTGCCAGGTTCTGTAATCTGTCTGCAGCACTGTGACTGGGTGTGTTGGAGGTAATCCATTACGGCAGGAGAACTCGGACTGTGTTGTCACAAAATGCACCTCAGCATGTCTTCAGATTTGATCCTGAATGATTAATTTCTATCTGGTCATCAGTTTACAGATTTTAAATCACGCAGAAGCTTTAAAAACTCCTGGGCCAGAAGTTGTGAAGTTCCATGCAGATGATGCAGGTTGTTACCTCAATGTTTAGTCTGACCCGCAGTTTGATTTGTCTGAATATTTTGGAGCATTTTCTGCTGAAGAACCCAGTGACGACACATTTTTGAGTTTTCATTTCAAATGTCCTGAAATTCCTGATGTACAGATTTAGACTGCAGTTTGTTGGTTTGAATGAAGTGGAGTTGATGGCTTGTTTTATTAATTATAACTGAAAAACCTTTCAGCTTTGGATTTGTTTTTCACAGTAGAGGAGGATAAAATGAGAGAAGTTGGTTTTATCTGAAGTTTAGTTTAACTAATGGCTTAAATGGAAAAACGCGCCAGTACTGATTCCACCGACTGTTAACATTTAAAGTTAACAAGTCAAACTAAACAGAATAAATGACTATTTATTTTCCACTTTGACCAAAGTGAAACCCTAATCGGTGTTTTGTTTTCATTCTTAGAGATGTTTTCCACTGCGGTAAAAATGTTCCTGTTCACACGTCGGACCTGTTTTAGATCACAGATTAGATTTAATCTGTTCTTTTTTCTTATTTAAGTGAAAATCAAGATGTTTCAAACCGACTTTAATCAGCAGGAAACAAAGCAAAGCTCTCACCCTGACATAGTTGGCGTTGATGTAGCGATCCGGACCCGGTTCTTCCTCCAGGTTCTTCAGGATCACCCGAGTCTCCGGGTCTGAGAAGCAAACCGCAGTGATGAGTCGGAGGAGAAGATAAGATCAGCAGAGCTGCTGCTGAGGCGCTTACTGGGCAGGATGGTTTTGTATCTGTCTTTCATCATGTGTCCCGGAGCGTCCAGATCGGCTGCGCTCACAAAGTTTGGAGGAATCTTCTGCAGGGGAAAGCAGAACATGTTGGACATTAAAATTTATTTAATTTTTCCTCTTATCCGTCCGGCTGCTGCATTCAGCCAGCAGGCAGGAATAAACAGGACTTTGGCTGGATTTTATGACTTTGGGTTTAGTTTTGTATAATTTGAGTTATGTTGTATTTTCAAGGTTGAGCTCAGAGCTAAATTTCTACATAATTCACTTCATCACTGGCTTCATGTCTCCACTATAACTGTAGCTTTTCCTCTTGTCTTGCACGATATGTCAGCTGAAAACAGGATGAGCCGTTTGAACGGCAGTGCAGACGCTTATCGATGGATCGATAAGGACATCAGCATCGAACTGAATCGATTTCACCAGCAGGTGAATACAGCGGTTCTCCATACCCAGCTTTTATTTTGGTAGTCCACAATTTACAGAGAATTAGCTAAATATTTAGCTAGCTTAGAGCTAACCAGATATTTTTTCTAGATCACTGCTAAATATTTACTTTGAAGCTAAAGAGTTGGATTGATAACTAAATATTTAGTCTCACCTTAAGTCTTTAATGTGGAGCTTAATGTGTAAAGTGGAGTTATTTATTAAATGCTAGGAAGCATTTCATCATCAATACTTTGACAGATTAAACCAAAACTTATTTTCTATACTTTTTCTTAAAGATTTTTGAAATAAGATAAATAAAATGTTTTATTTTTATCTTTTAAAATGAAAAAATGGAGAATTTTCATTGTTAAATCTGAACATTTTATAGCTTTAGTCTTTGAAGGATAACCTTTCACCTCAACAGATAATAAAACCCTTACCTGGTACTCTGTGTTCAGAGCGCTGGTGTCTGCTGCAGCTTCCTGTAACTGCGCATGTGCAAGCGCTCGGGACGAGGTATGTAGCAGCTGAAGCCACACCTCTTTGGGCGTGGTCACAGAGCAAACTGACTCCGCCCCCAGATTGCTCACATCCAATAGCAGCGACAGGTTGGAACCCCCTTTTGAAAATAAAATAACTGTTTTGAAAAGGTTTTTAAAAATAAACAACATTTAAATGAATCTTTACATTCTGCAGAAGTTTAGGTGGGAAAAATGTTTTTTTTTTTTAGAAACAGCTTCATTCATGCTAAAGATTTGATGCAAATTTCTTTAGATGCAACTTTCTACTGATTGAGATTATTTTGAAACACAGCAGAAATAAACTGGATGTTGGAGGGTTGAATGTGACTCTTTCCGTTCTGGACGAAACCTCATTTTCTTGACTCAAGATTTTAACCATGAAAGAGCAGCAACAAAGTAACAAAGTCAATGTGTTTGAAAACTCAACTGATTTCTCGTCAAGTGCTTTTCACCCAAATTAAAGTAAATTTAATAGGAAATGAACACAAGTCAATTCCAATTCAGTTCTAATTAATTCTACTATCCGCTCCCATTCAAGTTCAATTGAGTTACAAGGGTGGAGTCAAAGTGATGATAGAGTGTAAATATATTTAATATATTGTCCAGCTGTTCCTCATTGGTTCTGCAGCCATGGTTCTCCTCACCGTTCCTGGAGGCGGACTGAGGCTTTTCGAGGGGGTGTGGTCAGCGGCGGCGGCGACACCGGTTCCTCAGCAGGAACGGAGCCCAATGAGCTCATTATGAGTGTTTTCTGTTAAAGATGATTTATTTTCTGAGCTGCATTCAGCTCCTCAGCTCAACACCATGCTGCAGAAAAACACAGACAGCATCATTGCACTTTAATCAAAAACCCATGTCACAAAACAAGCAACATTTTCAATTAAAAAATCCTTTTTGCTGCTAAATTATGGAATAACAGGAATGAACTCAACAAGAAAGATATTTTGCTTTTAATCTGTTGTTTGGGTCATTTAAGTTTTGGTCTGTCTTTCAGCTTTACGGCGTTTCTTTGATCCTTCATGGAGCTTCTTTACAATGTAGACTGTGGACGCTCACATTAGCATTAGCTGCTACTTGTTTAGCATTGAGATGATATTTTAGTCTAACAGCTTCTCTGACATGCCAACTCCTTTTAGCACAACTTCAACACAACAATCGTCTTTTATCTGGGCCAATCAGATCATTTAGAAGCAGAACTTAATCCTCTGCATTGCTGCTGTTCGCAGATGTAGCCTGTGCACCAGATTTATGGATGTACCAGAAACGTGCAAATACAAAGGTTCCATCTGGAACTTTTACATACATTTTTTTCTTGCAATAGAATCTCTGGAATGTATGAATAAATTAATGCTCTAAAGTCAGTTTAAAATAAAATGTCCTCTGTCCATTTCTTTTAACACTCTACATTTAGCTCGAGACATAAGACAGAGTTTCTGAATGAGCTACTTTTTAGATGTTTTTAGTGATTACATTTTATTTTCAGCTTTACTTTTCTTTGTGTAGATTAGTTCTCAGTCTGGTTTTATCTTATGTAGTTCAGTCAAGTTGGGGGTCTGAAACAAGTTGCAGTAAAACAAACTGTGGCCTTTTATTACATTTGTGTGGAGTTTAATTTGATTTTACAATAAATAATTGTAATATAGTTTTATTTTACAGAAAGGAAATGTTGTTTTTTATCCTGTAATGCTGTAAATATTTTAGCTTAATTTATTTGCAGTGTGTTTCTAGTACAGCTGGGCCTGCCTGTAAGTGTTTTAATGGCAACACCAGTTGTTCATTAACAACTGAAAAACCACAAACTTTACATCAGTAACTGGATCCTAAATACAATTCATCCAGAAGTTCATCCAAAGTGTTTTACATAACAAGACAAATCAAAGAAAAGAATTCAAGATATAAAACAAGTATAAAAAAAATACATAATAATGAATAAAGACAATAAAAACAGCTTATCGCCTTACCCTGGGCCAAACCCTACTGGAAAAAGATTTAAAGAGACTCAACAGAAAAGTTCAAACTCCAGTTCGTTTTTGATAAACGAAAAAGTCTCTGGTCTCCTGATCTGAGGGTCCACAAAGGAAGATCCGGCTGCAGTAAGTCAGATAGGTGGATTGTTCCTCTTTTGGAAAACAGCCACTGGATATTTACAGATTTATTCAAGAAATTCTCTTCATCAAAGGCCAAACCAAACCAAGCAAAACATGGAGAAAACGTGAAGCAGCCAGAGGTGATAAAACCAGCCTGAAGCCGTTTAATGCATCCACTGCATTCAACAGCGTTCTGACCGCTGGATGCGTCGGTAACTGCCTATAAGAATGTTTCCCCCTCTGGTTCTACTCTGACTGCTGGATGCTTGGGAACCGGATCAGTTACACCTCATCACATCCACATCAGACTGTCTTTCCAGTTCTTCGCTTGGCATCGAGCAGCTTTTCACAATCAGTGTGTAAAATTTGCATGAGTGCCACAGAATAAAGCACATTTCAAATGTGAACATTTAAAGTGCAGGTTAGCAGAATGCAGCAGAGGTTCAACATGGAGGACAACAGACGCAGCAGCATTCCTGTTGCCTTCAAAAGTTCCCCAAACTTTAGGAAACAATGCAAACTTGTTACTGAGGGTTAAAGCCAGCATGTAACAGCTGAACTTTGACCTTGTTAATGGTGGAGAGCTGAGGAGCGCTGTGGTCACACACTGGGGAAGCTACGCATTTCAAATAAATGCAAGGTGTTATCTTCTGTTCCTTACGTTCTATTTCATTAGTCATTTATGTTTCAGGTTATTTAAATATTTCTGCAGAGTTTCTCACATTTATTCAGAATGTAAAAAAATATTTGCATTCTGTCTAAGATGCAAATATAACGTTAGACTCCCTGTGTCTCAATACGATCATTATTAACATGAACATAAAAGAGATTTAACTAGGACGCCAAGCAGAAAGCAACATTTACATGTTCAGTTTGTTAGTTTGACATTAAGCAGTTTTTAAAAAAAGTCCACCAGGTTCTGTGTTCATGTGGGCCGGGGTCAGATGGGCAACACCAGATCTTAGAAATGGATTCAAGTGTCATTCATCTATAGTTGAATACTGGAATGAGTGAATGCAAATCAAAAGTTTTTCCCTCTCCAAACAGCCGAATACCCAAAACCCACACATGTTGAGCTTTTAGCTTTTTTGCTACGTTAAACCTGACCACACTCACCATTCTGATCTCCGCAGCTCTTTTCTTGCTTCTCAGGTTCACTTTAAGTTAACTTTAAACGTCTGACGTGTTTTTGTCATGAATGAACTTCCTGATGAGATGAGGTTCAAAATCCAGAGTCCTCTGACAGAAACCGAATTGGCTCAAAGTCGATGTCTGATAAACCAGCCACTGCTGCGATGAGGAGGCATCTCTCTCTATGATGAAGCAGAAACTGCTGGAACGGACGTCTCTCTCTCTCTCTGTCTGTGTGTGTTAGATATCTGTGTGTTTCCACATCACTACAGATCTGAAATGTTTCAGTTTGTCTCTGTCGGAAGAGCGTTTCCTCAGAGCAGGAAGTCAGCACGCCCACGCTTACTCAACGCGCAGAACACAAACACCACAGACGATATGGCCAAACATCGAGTGCTCTGGACTCTGAAGGCCAAAAGCTGAACATCTGACAAAGAAAATACTGAAGGGTCACCAATATTCTCTGCTGAGTGCACAAACTTCCTCTGAGTTGTTCAGTTATTCTTCAGACGGCAGTTTTGAGCTTATTTTTAGCTTCTCTTCAAAAACAAGATGGGCTGAATTTCTTCAGTTTCAGTTTGAAGGATTTGGCGAGCAGACAGTTTTCAAACGTCATCCGGCTGTTTTGACTCTTAAAGCCCACATCACTACTCCCCACCTCTGTGCATTTGCTGTGGTAGGCCAGGATGAGTCTGACTTGACGTGATTTTTATGCTGTGGTGGTGAAGGTTGAGGGGAGTTTGATGTCATTTCAGACCTTCTGACATTGACTAATTATTTTCACTTCTTGTCACAGTTCAGCATTTTTTAGTTAGCTTGGCCACAGCTAACTTCTCAGTTCAATAATAAGAGGAAAATCCCAAGAACTCTGCAACTGAGGCCCTTAAAGCTGCAGTATGTGGCTCCTATAAAATATTTGTTTACATATTTGTTGATCTTGCCCGAAATGTTTGCTGGAAATAGGCACCAGCACCCCTCTCAAGCCCACCAAGGGGGTTAGAAAATGGATGGATGGACATATTTGTTGAAACTGTCAACATGTTGAGATAAATCACGACAGATAATCTGTGAAGAAAAATCTACCTTCTCCCAGTGAAAACTAGAAACAACCAATGAAAGTCAGGAAAAGGGTCTTAGTGCTGTCAAGCACAGTCCTTGTGGCCCTCCTCATGCCTGCTCCCATTACTGTCTGCTATGATGCAGCTAGCACAGTCTATTCTGAATGCTAAGGCTAGTTTGCATAGCCACCAAATACGGTTTTTCTGTAACAGTAAGTTGTTAACTGTGAATACATGAGGGTGATTGACAGCGCTAAGGTCTGCCTCGTTGGTCTGATTGGTTGTTTTGGTTAATTTCTGCAGACAGTAATAGTAGCTCAGGGAGGAGGAGGCAGAAATCGATCTTTTCACAGATTATCTGTCTCATAATCTGCCACAACATGGTGGCAGTTTTAACAAATATGTCACACAATGTTTCTTTAATGAAAGTTGCAAACTGCAGCTTTAAAGCATGATTGGTGTTAAACATCTTGTTGGGAAACTAAAGCAGAATAAAAATTCAAAAGTCTGTAGGACCAGCCATGAAGAAAAGGTGAACTCTGAAGGAAAACCTTCAGCTGCTGTGGAGCAAAAGAAGAGCAAAGGTCACAGCATGGAGGAGGCAGAGCTTAGTTAGCAGGAACAGTCAAAGTTTCAATCCTAGTGAAGCTGCGGAAAAAAACAGCACAGAACCAAACAAATAAATGTGTTTTTTTTTAAACAGCCATGGTTTGATGGGGGTTGGGTTGAAGAGGGGTCAGAGAAATGAAGGTTTAATTCTAGCTTCTCCACCTTATCTCAGTGTCCTTAAGCAAGGCACTGAAACCCAAATTATAAACAGATCAGTGTATGAACATGTAAATAATCAGAAATGTTGTAGGTGAAGGGGCAGAGTTTATCATAGCAGTGGTTCATCCTGGACACCCACAATCTCACACACACACACACACCCACACACACACACGCACACACACACACACGCGCACACACACACACACACACACACACACACACACACGCACGCACACGCACGCACACACACACACACACACACACACACACACACACACACCGATACAGGTATATGTGGCATAGACTGACATTTTTGCCAAACAGGCCCAGAGGTGGTTTAGATGGACTCAAATACTTAGAGCAAAGGCAGGTGGCTTAAAAAACTGCATCAAATCGGACTTTTTTTGCAGTTTTTTAAGCAAATTTTTTTCAACTCTTATTTGAACCTTAGGTTTCAAATAGGAGCTGAACAGCCTTTTTTTTTAC